CCAGTTGCCTTCTGTGAACACGATTATTAACCTCCATAAAAGGACGCACTTTCTCTTCGAACGGAGTAGCTATGATTGCTAGAAGAAGACATGAGTATATTAAAATTTCATAGCATGCTTGTTATTGAATTTAAATAATTTCATGGTGAATGTTACTAAGCATAAAGAGCAAGACCCCTGAAGCTCGTTCAACCGAGTCCCTTCCGCACTACTGAGAGTTTGAATTTAATAATCCGACCTTCTGATACATAGTTTATTTTTTTCTTGCATTCATATTAATAAGATTTCTTAATGTTATGCCAGGTAATTAATTTTTGTTGGTGTAATGAGCTATGTACACCGTATCTATTGCTTTGTTAATTAGTCTCAAAGCACGTAGCATTTTTCAATTGTCAGACGAATTTTTTTCTTGCCTCTTTTAATTATTTTGAGGTTATTAACTGCAGCAGTGAAGGTTTTGCTAACGACTCCTTCATCCTTGTCATAAGAGTATGACGTTTGCCGGCAAGTTGATTGATCGTAGACTATTTCTTGTATGTGGGCACCACCACATACAGGGAATGCAGGTCAGTTTGTGATGATGACGGCTACGTGGAGACGGCGTGTACTGGTGGTACTGTTGTGGCCTGAAACCATCTAATACATTTCCGGCAACCTTTCATTAATCTTGTTGTTACAGTGTCTTGGTGCTTCTGCCGCCACGACTTGTGTGTGCAGGTGCGGTGGACACACAGACACATCCTTAACAGGTGTAGGTTCCGTACGTGTAATTTCATACCAACGAAGACGAACTGCGGGGAATATCAAGTGTATAGCCGTTAATAAGAATGAATTTCCTAAACATACACGCTTTTTTGTACGGATTTCCTGTAGCTAATTGTATTTCCTGTGACGTTATGAGACCGCCCGCATGTTCTGAATGTTAAAAGAAGCTTGTTTGCCTGGTTTAACATACGCAATTGCGAGTCAAGTGACGTTTGTATGATTGAAGGCGAGTAGCGAAGAATCGACAGTTACGAAATTGAGGTCTGAAGTTCTCACGGCGGTGAATATGGAGATAACTGCCATCAAAGATATTACTCGGTGTAATCCAGTAGAAATTTATCGACATTCCGCAGGAATGTTCTGCCTCCATCCTCAGGATAAACTAGCAAGCTACGGGTGGAAAATGTATGGATACATATGAAGAGGGTCAGTTGGCCTCGGAGCCTTGACCAAACCAATTTCTGTAATGAGAAAAACAAAAACTCTGGTTTTCTTCCGCAAGCGAACTATACCGACCGTTTGTCGGCGAAGTTAGTACCAACTTTAGCGGATAGAGGGTGTCGCGTGGTCAGCGCAACGAATCCCCACGGCCGTTAATCCTGGTTTTCTAGATTGGAGCTGCTACTTTTCCATTAAAGTAGCTCCTCAGTTATCCTCATGAGGCTGAGAGGACTCCGTTCCAGACCCACTACTTTTCAGAAAATCTGTTATAGCCGGGAATCACACCCGGGACCTCTGGATCTGTAACCAGGAACTCTGACCACTAGACCACAGAGGAGAATGGAAAAGAAGGAGGGTCCGTTTAAAGGGCCGCCGTTTTTTGTTTTGTTTCTTTGTCATATTGAGCAACGGGAGACTGACCAGTGGATGATGTAGGGAGGTGATGAAGTTTCCCGATGTGTTTGCTAATGCAGTCGTTCGCATTAAATTGGTGTAGACCTGGTACATATCTTGAACAGTCTGTAGTTCCTTTCTGGTAGTAGCCGTTGGTTTGGATGCTGGATGAGCATCTGAGACGGCATGAACATGATGGCTAAGGGCCGGAATACACTGACGGCATTTCGCAATTGAAATGGACTGCACGACTTGCAATCGCGTCCCAGCGGTTCACCCGACGCCATGGAAATTTTAATAGACACCACACACGAGCGTATTTTGCCCTCACCACTGCAGGCTGCAGTTCGTTTTCAGTTGATCCCCGCTGAGACGCCGACTGCTCAGGTGCGGTTGCGCCTACGACCCGGACTGCGTGACCTTGACTGCACTGCCTACCGTAGTCTCCTGCTACGCAACAGAGGTGCAATCCAGTGCTTCACTGACAAGTAAAGTTGCCGTCGCCACGCAGCGTTTACGAACTGCAAATTAACTACACATTGCAGTTCACTTCTACTGCAAGGTAGCTCGCTGTCCCTCTGCGAACTAAACCTCCCCGCCGTCTAACCAATCAGTTTACTGACGGTGTCCTGGCGTATTGATCGAAACGGTTCTTAATAAACTGGAGTGTAATATAAAGACATATGCGTGTATTGTGTCGGGGATGCGTTCGTTGGGTTACGAGATAAGTTGAAAAAATCATGCTTTGATTCTTTCCTTTTTGCTATCTACAGGGCATGCGGTAGCATAGTTGGTTGAGGCACTATGCTACAAGACGGAAGCTCGCGGTTGTTTTCAATTGACGTAATCTTTTCAGCCGCACTGTGGCCCTGGGGTCGACTCACCTTCTAATAGAAATAAATACCAGGAATCTTTCTGGTGGTAAAGGGCAGCCGGAGCAAAAGGATGACATCCTCACCGCCATCTGTGAGCCGATTGTATAGAAAATGTGAGAACCTCGACATATCATAAGCCTATGGGTCTCCATGGCCTGTTACAGGGATAGATTTACCTTTTTTTAGTTGTGAGAGGTCATAGTTTAGAAATTGATAATTTCTAATCATATAAGATTAGGTTGTAACGTTAGTATAGGTTCGTGTTCAGTTAGGTTGGGGTATGAGACCATTGTTATAGAATTTCCGTATATATGTCTGTGCATGAATGCCACTGGATATTAGGGATTTCGGTCGCAGCCTTTTAGATAGGACTTCCATAATAAAACTTTACGGATACCCACCATATATTTCTAAGAACTGGATTATGATTCCGTGAAATGGACAAAAATGACAATACAGACTTGTTCATTTACTCTTTTCTAGAAACTGATGTACGGCTTGTAGGCAAGGTTAACAACTTTTATGAAGTGTGATTGTTTTTATTATTGTAGTTACTCGTAATACTATTAATGTACGAGGGAGAATCAGTAAATGGGTCACAAATGGAAGTCAAACAGCTGTAATGGACATAATAGGTTTTCTATATGTGTCAATAGGTAACAACACAGTCCAACTTTATGAGAGGCTAGGTAGCTGACATGCATGCGCATGTTCAGAGGCTGGTGTCAGTAGTCAAAATGGAGAAGTATACTACCGAAGAGCAGTGTTCTGTTGTGCGTTTCTTGTGAGAAAAAGGACTCAAAGCAAAGGTTATTCATAAAGAAATGTTTCCTGTTTACCGTGGGAAGTGTTTGTCGCGTAAAACGGTTCACAACTGTGTGGCAGACGTTTCGCTGTTAAAGAGGTTGAAACGGAAGTGCGTAAGTGACTGAGACAACAGTGAAAAGACTTATATTCTGCTGGTTTCGTCGCACTGGTAAAATGATGGGAAAGTGTATCAGTGTTGGTGGATGATATGTAGAGAAATGTTTTTTTTCGGGTTCGGGTGTCACATGTTTTACGTTTTATTTCCATTTTTGAACTACTTACTGGTTCTTCCTCGTAGTTATAATGCTTATCATCACCGTTACAGTCTTATCTGCCATGTGGAGGTGTCCGAAATGATCTCTTCTCTTCACATTGTGGACGTAACGTCATCAGTTCATGACAGACGACGTAAAAGTCGGGTCATTTGTAGTTTTGTTTAGAAGCCGTCGACAGAACTGTGGGCGGAGATTTGTTTCCCGTGGCTGTAACCCTTGTAGCTACAAGTTGTAGGTAGAAGTGATATTACTGTTCTCCATGCAGTGTACCCCAAACAGCATTCTGAGACATGCTCGTTTCAAGTGAGACCGGATGAATGCTAGTCTGTGAATTAGCATGTAGCACTTCATTCTACACATTGCGTTTGACGCGTCCAGCGCATGCTGGTGGCATGGATGCACCTGTTTCCCTCAGAGGGCGGTGTACGTTGCAAACATATGTCTGCTGGGTTGCCTCCGATCCGGGTGCCGATACAGGGCTATGCCTTCGAAGCAGCTCTCGCATTTCCATCAACAAGGGCCTACATGAAATCCGTATCGTAGATCGCATTAGTAAACCGTGCCGTCCCGTTTCGCTGCTGTTACTCTTTTGTCCTCGGAAGTAATGCGAGTCATAAGCTACTGCAGTATGAACTCGGGCTTGTGACGGTGTGAAGACGCCACTACACGAACGTACAAAAACAAAAAGAAAATAAACTGAAAATTTGAAACGCCACATGTCTGAAGCGATGGCGAATCGGACAACTGTTCAGTTACATTTTCTGCTCCAAATTACTTCCTCAGCATCCCCCAGACGTTCGGCTGTATATTAGTGCTTGATTTTTATAGTCTGTCAGCTTTCGGCAAGCAGTCTAATAAAATAATTTGATTTAACGGAATTACTCGTATTTGTTTGCCGAGAAAGACAGAAGAATGGAGAAATAACTTATTCAGGAACTTCATTTGGGTAATCCAGTTAAGGAGGTTGAGATAGGTAGCATGTGGAGTACGCATGGTGTAGATGAGAAGTGTGTACAAAACTTTAGTCTGAAAACGTAAATGGAAGAACCCGTTTGAGAGTCTAGGCTCAGATGAGAAGGTGATATTAAATTGGTTATCCCGTATTTAAGCATCCTGTTGCATTACTATATCTAAAACTGTTTATGTAGCACACAGTCCGTGAAAGTGAAAGAAAGAAGGGACGGTTTGTTGAATTGCTGACGGACTGCGTAGTACATAAACAGTTTTAGATTAAATTGGTTGTTATTGAAAGATCATGTGGCTCAGGTGAAATGCAACGTGTCTCTTGTGAACACGACAGTGAAGCTTCTGATATGAAATGCAGGGGATTCCTTGATAAGCTCAGCGATTATCAGCCTGTCTAGAAAGACCCTGCTCCATGAAGTCAGATTTTATCCCACCTATGCAAGTAAGTTTACAAGGTGTGGTTTCGTTGTGACTTCAGATGATGATCCAGTCCGGGTACATGCCGACGGTTCTTCAGCAGCTGTGCAACTTGCCGTTTCCATATTTCAGCAACCCTACACTATCGTGTCTCCTGTTTCCCACTCTGCTCGCCTGCTGCAGCGGCAACCAGCAGAATCGGGCCATTCTCGAGCAGGAAGTCAGCTACCAGGTAGGTCTCATTTCTTTGCCTGCTTCACTACAGTTAAGTAATAGAATTGTCACCAGACTTTATGAGCGTACTCGCCTTCTGACTTTACGTAACCTATGATTTCCTAAGTCAGCCATGCCTTGAAACAGTGCTGCTCATGTTTTTCCTGACATTTCCTTCGGTATATTCCTAACATTTGTAAGAATGTCTTGAATTGATTCGGAATGAGAAATTTTGAACAAGATTCAGAGCTTCTTGAACATGAAAAAAAGAGGAGTCGGACGAAGTCAGGTGACGGGGTGGTTGGCCTAACACCGGTATTTATGTCTCAGAAAATTGATTATTGAAGATGTATAGGAAGGAAAGTTGCAAAATCTACAATATTTTCCTGGGCAAAAATTTTGTGCTGTTCGTTTAGTACGCGCCCTTTAAACGCTACAAAACATGGAAGTATAAACTTAATGCTTCTTTGTGGTTTCGTTGAATGTATTCCTAGTCGATAATTCCTTTAATGCAAGTAACACCGACACTCTGGATTACTGTTTTTTGGGGGGGGGACTTCGTTCTTCTTCCCGTATTTTGAAGAACAAATGTTTTACACCTTCAACCCTTTAGAATCTACGAATTAGAACACGACATGTTTACTTGTAGAACTATTAATGTCACAGAATTTCAGACTGTATGACGTAAATAAATGATGGGAACATATTAGATACATGGAAGTCGAGAAAGTTGTTTCCCAAAGAAAGTTCTGGAATATAATTCACAACAAGACGATTTTGGAAAGGTCATAGAAAGATGAACCGAATTGAATACACGAGGGAAACTAATGTAGGGGGCGCGGGAGAGCTGGCGTCACATGTCTCATTATCTTGTAAACCATCACGTGACTGGTCACCTAGTGTTTGTTCTTGTCTCTACATAGTGGGTTATGATGTGTCCTGCACTCGATAACCCCGTCAGCTGCGAAATTAGCGCTGTTGTCCGCTTTCTTCACCTAAAAACATAAGTGCTGCGGAAATCCATTGTGAATAATGCGCGACGGTTTACGGCCATAATGTAATGAGAGAAGGAACTGTAAGGCAATGGTGTAGAATATTCAAAGATGGGTGGGCGAACAAATGTTCACGATGAAGAGCAAAGTGGTCGGCCGGCCATCTGTAGTGAGTGATGGCCTTCTTCAAAGTGTTGACCAACATTTTGTGAGAGACGGCGCTTCACAATTTCAGAACTTTCATGTGAATTTTCACAGATTTTGCGTACTGTTCTGTACGACATCGCAGTTAGGCTAGAGTCTCGCAGGTGTTGCGCAAGATGGTTTCCAAAAATGCTCACGGGTACGCGGCTTTGACTTTTTGAAGCGATACGACAAAGATGATGAATTTCTCCATCACGTCGTACGAGTAACGGGTGACGAAACCTGGGCTTCATCTGTGAATGTTGAAACCAAAGAGCAGTTAGAGCAGTGGATGCGCACACATTCACCAAACAAGCCGAAAAAAAATTAAACGTCTGCCAGAAAGCTGATGGCAACAGTTTTCTGGGACAGGGAGGGAGTGCTGATGGTGGAATTCATGCAGCAAGGGACCACAGTAACATCAGAAGTGTATTTCGAAACACTGAAGAAACTGCGTAGGAACTGTCATTCAGTACAAAACGCTTTAATGGCGTAATGCTTAATTCGTTGAGCACAGGGACAATTTTACCGTTACCTTTTTTACTTGAGCAGGTTACAGCCTGTTGCAACCCCCTCCCCCCTTCCTGGACGACCCTCACTCACCCATGGGTCTGAGCCCTTCTTGAGGAGCCGCCAATTTTGCAGCTACTCAAGAACTTCCCAGCATTTTATGGAACCCGAAGGTTCATTACCGCGTTCACAAGAGCTATCCACTGGCCCCTATCCTGAGCCAGATAGAGCCAGTCCATAGCATCCTCTCGTATCTTTTTAAAATCAATATTGTTCACCCACCTACGTCGTGGTCTTCTAGTGGTCTCTTTCCTTCTGGCTTTCCCACCAATATCCTATATGCATTCCTCTTCGTCCCCATTTGTGCTACATGCCCTGCCCGTCTCATCCTCTTGACTTCATCATTCTAATTATACTTGGCGAAGAGTACAAGTTATGAAACCCCTCATTATGCGGTTTTCTCCAACATCCAGTCACCTCATCTCTCTTCGATGGCCGCACCATAGCTCAAGCTGTTAGTCGCTGGATTTCCACCGCGGGGGCCCGGGTTTGATCCCGGGTCTGGTCAAGTGGGATTTGTGGTGGACAAAGTGGCGCTGGGGCAGGTTCTCTCCGAGTACTTCGGTTTCCCCGCCAATCTTCATTCCACCAATTGCTCCACAATCACCCTCACCTATCATCTGGGGCTGGTACAATAGGCCAGAAGTGGCCGCAGTACAAGGGACTTAGTCCCACCCCACTAGCAATAAAAAATCTCTCTTCCATTCAAATATTCTCCTCAGCACCCTGTTCTGAAACACCTTTAGTCTGTGTTTCTCCCTTAATCTTCCTGGACGACCGGTGTTTTTATTCAGGATTTCCTTCCTGTTCTTAGGTTTCCAAGCTTAACTAACGAGCCCTGTTTATCCCCAACGTAGCCCTGGGGAAGGGCTCTTACCCGAGGTGCTACCCACCAGGGGGCTGGAGATCCCATAAGGCAGGTTGCCCCGCCTTGTAGTTTGACACTCTTTTATGAGGGTTCTAACTTGCTACTTGTGCCTGCAGTTGTATCACCTGAAATTTAAAAATTTAAAATCTTTTTTTTTTTTTTTTTTNAGAAAAATATACGTTCAGAGCATAGACCCTATTCCTTAACACCGCCATTTTGCAACTTCTGATAAGATGAAATTTTTAATCTCACCCTTAATAGAATTAATGTCATTTAATTAGTTGTCTAGCCCTTTAATAAACTCTCTGGTCCTTTATTCATTTTTCCGTTGACTTCCATATCAAAAGATGTGCGTGCTGCGCTTTGTGTGAATGGAGGGGATTGACGGTGCATTTCTTTCCGAACGAAATAAACAGAAAGCCAGACGCTGATTCATTTCTTTTGCAGTTTATCATCCAATCCTGATCTACACGGTATGAAGTTTCCATTTGAAAGTGTCCCTATAATTCAGTAGCCAGTAAATCATCTGTGATATTGTCGGTTTGCTTTGAAAACGGTTTTCTTCTTCCTTCCGTGGTGAAGTCCACGTTTCATAAAGCAACGTCATTGTCTTTCAAGGAATACTTTAACGGGTTATCATGTTGCATTTCGAATCGACACTAAAAATTATGATCTTCCTCTCTAGTTTTTGTAGCACGTCCTGTGCGCCATTGATAGAGAACTGTCGCAGTTTTGACGATATTCCCACTTGTTGGTAAGTAAACCTCAAGGGAAGAAATTGCTTGGTAGACATGAGTTTAGGTGGAAAGGTTGTATTATGTTAAGACCGACTGGATTGATGCAGCAATAGCGCTCTGGATTTGGATTTTGGAGGTTCTCGGCAGGGAGGCGGGCTGTCTGAGATTTTTCGGTTCCTCGAGTCTTATACCGGGATAATACCTAAAGTAGGCCAGACCACTTCCTTCCAAGCGACCTACCATTCAATACTATAGTCTGCGATACTGAAAACGTTGTAAAACGACTAGCTCCAATAATGGGTCGTGTTTGGATTGTACTGGCTTAAGACAGAGTGCAGTGACGGTGTTTTGTGAACAGGACGATGAATGTTTAGATTTAATTTCTTTGGGGCTACTCAAATATCAGCTGCTGAAGAAGTACCAGTTGTACGAGCTCTGCTTAAAACTTCCAGAGAGTCTAATTGTGTTTACTGTATGTTGATATGTTCGCAATTTTGTGCGCAGTTTTCTGAGAAAGAGTCCTCAGTGGAAGTCCTCTCCATGCGAGAACAAACTTAATAAACGTAGGTGATGTACTCCATCGCTTTGTGTTAGCTTCTGTTGGGAAGGAAGGAGTGTCGGGGTGACCTCAACAGTGTAACCCCTTTCTCCCGACAACTTGGCTAACCCGCCTTAAAAGCTCCGTAATGGTGAACTACTTTACCTGACGGCCGTAATTAGATCAGGGGCCCTGGCTTGTAGCCACAGTCTTAGCACTTAACCAGGCTCAGCCGGCCTCTTGCCTGTATAAGGCGTATGGAAGACCAGAAAGCTATAGAAACCATCCTCTTGTTGCAGTATAGTAACTTACTTAGGTGGCCCGATTCTCTGTTCTAGAAGTCCAAGTTGGACTGCAGATAGCTTCCTGAGTGCTGTAGTAGAAGTTTTCTTTTCTGGTTGGCGGACCTTGCTTTACAAAGTGTTTTGCCCAAACATTTCTTCTCGTGTTCTCCTTCAGACTGATAACAGCATAATATTCGTGTGTTAGAATTGTACAGTTTATTAATATACAGGGTGGCCACAATTTATTCACCATATAGCAGGTACACACAAAAAGCAGAGCATACGACATACATAGAATTGGTTTCCTCTACTTGAAAGGAAAACTCATCAAGTTCATTGCATCTTAATGCAAGCACTATTTGCAGCGTCTGGGGTGTCACAGAAACAACCGCACTGTCGATTCGTGCACAAAATTCGACTACATTACCAACTTCTAGATGGCATGCCTGCCCCCCCCCAACAGAAACATTCCAATGGGATTTACGTATATCGGAGGAGCGAGGAGGCCAGGGGATCGCTCCGTCCTGCCCAGTCCACTTGTTTGGAAAAGTTTTATTCAGAGACTTTCTCACTCTCAGGCAGCATCATGTTGAAAGAAAACGTTTGATTTGAAGGTGTGCCATTTGCAGGACTGCAAACATCTGAGCTAATTTTTACTGTTCACTGTCTTCTCTTGAATAAGAAGGGTCCAATCACCTCATGACGAGAAAGGGCGCTCCACACGTTGTCTGTCTCTTGAAACTGTTCCAGCCATCAGTTGATGGACTGTCTTCCAGGCTCTTGTTCTCCATATTGCCAACGGTAACGTCTTTGCATCTGGATAACTGATTTTGTCCCAAGTAGCACAGCACAGACATTGCCTTTTACTCGGGGGAACTGCCATATTGCTTTCGTAAGCTGTGTACGTTTCAGCAGCACCATTATCGGCCGGGCAATCAATTGAAACGAAAAATTTTCAGCGGTTTCTTCGAACAGTGCAATTCGTGTCATTATATCTCTAAAACTTTATGATTTATGTAAATTTGAAATGCGATGAATAATTTGTGGCCAGTTTTTCTCTGTTATTCCAGAGACCTTGTGGTTTGTTTAATGGCAAAGAAATCCATATGCGTTAAGTTTCGAAATACTGATTACTCATGAGTATACACTGAAGCTCAGGATTCACGAAATCAGTAGGATTTTCGTTATGTATTGTTATCCATGTTTTTCACGAATCATCATATTCACACTCACTCCACTTCTATATACACCTACAGTCCATTGCGCAGCTGCTGCAGCTGTGTGCTAATGATAAAGTTTTTTATCTAAAGAGTAGGCCGTGTATGGGTGACAGATTGTTCTGGGCTAGAAGATTGATATATTAATGAAACCATAATTGTTTGTGACCAATGGGTGCAGTGAGGGAAAATAGTGACACCAGAAGCGTACCCCATTGTCCGGCTTAACTCAGGTTTATTCTTAGCTGCAAGGACGGAGAGGCACGTCCCAATCATCTCTGATTTCCTTGTCGGTTTCGAATGCCCCCAAGCTGGGCGCGACTAGCCAGATGCAAACTAGTGAAAACACATAAGTACATAATAGCCTCTTCCAAAACCCAGTACAGAATTAGGCAGGAGGTGCACACGTGTTAATGCTTGACATCAGAAGAGAGAGATAAACAAGTCAAAAAATACATATTTAATAATATTCATTCATTCATCAGTAATCTGTCGGACGACAGGTCCACAATATCTTCCAAAACAGTTCCTCCACTTAATGNACACGTCCCAATCACCTCCGATTTCCTTGTTGGTTTCGAATGCCCCCAAGCTGGGCGGGACTAGCCAAATGCAAACTAGTGAAAAACATAAGTACATAATAGCCTCTTCCAAAACCCAGTGCAGAATTGTGCAGGAGGTGTACACGTGTTAATGCTTCACATCAGAAGAGAGAGATAAACAAATCACAAAATACATATTTAATAATATTCATTCATTCATCAGTAATCTGTCGGACGACAGGTCCACAATATCTTCCAAAACAGTTCCTCCACTTAATGCGATCTCAAGCTTTCGCCTTCAAATAAGAATATCCTCTTCTGTCCCCAAAGTCATCCAGCATCTTCTTACATCTTCTTTCTCGTCTTCTGGCCACTTCTATCCGCCCCTCCGGTTTGTTTTGTCTCCAGAGGAAACCTCTCGCATACATGGTATCTCTGTTTTGGAAAGATGGTATCTCTGTTTTGGAAAGAGACTATCCAGGAAAGTGATAATGTGGTAGTTCTTCCATTTGCTTTCCACATCGCACTACAACAGCCGTTCAAACCACTCTAGTCACGCCTGTTGCTATACGAACTTGAACCATCTCGAGCATCATTTGCTCTGTGCTTCAAGTCTCTGCTGATGACGCTGCTTCCGGCATCAGTTTTTGGTTTTTGGTGTTCGTCTGATGCCTACCCTTTGACCTGTCCAGCAAGAAATACGCTACCGCTGGTATAGCTCTCAAGGTCCTTGGCATACTCAAACCCTCTTACCACGATAAGGTGGAGACACCAACGAGGGGATTTAATAATATATAATATAAAAATCACTTAAGAGGTGGGTTAACGAACACAAATACAAATCGGTTAGTATAACACACAAAAGCTGTTGTGGTAGGCACGTAACTGCAGATTCAAGATGGCCGAATATTATTAAATGGTACATCCACTTAAAAATAAATAGGCCAGATGGGTACTGGTATGGACTATTAGGGACAGAAAACTGATGTACACTGTATTCATGTAAATACATTAATAATGTAAGAAAATGATATATGCTGTGGACAGCCTACTCGCTGCTGTGATCCCGTGCCTACAACAGAAGGCGGTTGGCGTGATTCCTTGTTTAATTTCCGGGCAACTCGAAGCATCAGAACTGTCTGATATTTTGCGTATGTACCAACTGATAGGTCTGGTTCTTGTGCTTTAAGTATTATTCCTTTTGAAAATATTGTATAACTGTCTTTCATCAATAGAATGACTTGATTTGCCTTTCTTGAATTCTCTGTTGTTATTATATCCAACAGATGTTTGCCCCCCCTCTAGCTTTAATCACATCTTTCCCCGTGTCCTTTACGGTTATACTTGTGCTTTAGAACAATTAAAATTGCACACTTTACATAAAAGGACGTATCACTCTGATTCACTGGTCCTTATGCAAGTTTATCTTGGCTTTAAATTATATCCTCTTTTGGAAACTCTTGGACATTGAGTTTCAGCTCGGTATGTCAGACTTTTTTGTGTTCAATGTCTGTTGCTGTTCTGCTTCACACACTTCAGTTTCTAATGTTGTTTGTATGGACATGACGTATTTGGGACCAAAATTGTTCCTCTTAATCATATTTTATAATCGTACTTAATTATTAATTATCGATGTATTAATTGTATTCAACATTAATGCATGTGTGTGTATATATACGAGCATATTTTGACATGTATACCCATTGCTAGGGTACGGTTCGCTATTCCCGCAACACACGCGCACGCGACAATAGGACATCTGTTCGTAGTTAACAGACCAGTAAACACGCCTCCTTAACAATATAGGAGTGTTTCCCGTGGGGTCCGTGCCGAAGGGTTATAAAGGGACGAAGAAGAAAGAGAAAGACTGCGCTGGCAAGGGCCAGCAGCATATATAAAAGACAGACCCGTCCTCTCGTCAGAGAGAGCGCCCCTCAAAATCAATACCGTAAATCTAAAACAGTAATAAATATCTGGTCATGAGCCCCAGATGGGGCTCGACACCAAGGCTTACTGACTGACTGGCCGATCGTCAGTCGCAGTGTGACTTTGACTTGGAATTGAGCGGTGCAAAGAAGACTTCATGTGTTATCTGAAGTGATAGTGATACTGTGATAAATCCGTTACCAGGATACGACTAGTGAAGACTGAGAACCCTGGTGTGTGTGGAATAGCGTTAGTGCTGTATTGTCTGTAGTCCCGAACTGTGGGAATATATAAGGCGCAATAAATCCAATCGTCCAATCCAAAACCCGTCTCATACGTAGGGACCGGATTTTTATGCCGCAGTAATCCCTTAAAAATGTATGCATTTATGCATGTAAAGCTTCCAAAATATGCACATAAGAAGTTCATTCCAAATATTAAAATTGATTTTGCATTTGATTTGGTTCATCCTGGTCAGACACACTAGCAATAGTATAAAAGATTATCAACTCCGTCCAGTGTGACTGATAAATGTTTTTCTACTTTTTAATCTTTCGTCCTTGACATGTTGCGATCGGAGCGACCATCTTCAGGAGGGCATATCAATACATGCGGAAACTACTATTACAATGTGATTGGTCAGAGCAGAGGGATCGGGGAAGTCCCGTCCTGGGTATTGCATCAGAAATATGAATCGAGGCTCAACTTGCTAGTTGTATGACAAAATGTTGCGAATCAAATATGCGGCATATCCTTACAAGGAAAAGAAAAATCGTATACACACGACTATGATTGCAAATTTCAACATAAAATTGGGAAAAAAAATACATGTAATAATAAACATTTTTAAAGAAAAGATGCAGCATAAATAGAGATTTTCGAAAATATAATGCCTACATTAAACAGGCAAAATATGCACTTATATGCACCATCAAACCGTGTCTAAAATTTAAGAAATGAAGTAATTCATGCATTTATCCAAATCAGCATACTTTTTGTTTGCAAGAAAGAAATATGTATCTGCATTAAAATCATGCCTCTACTTATCTCACCCCTACACGTAACAATATATATATATATATATATATTTCGCACTGCAACATGGTTGGCATGATTGCGCTAATTGAATATTTATTGTCTAAACGATACAGTGCGTGTAAAAAGGTAAAGTTGTCTCTGTGATTAACTAATTAAACACTACCCCATGATGGCGTATGAGGGAGTGTATAGATCCACATTTTCTTGATCTCGGCACTAGTTGGAGTTGAATAGTCAGCTTTACGCCCCTGCCGCTTTACCCCAGGGGAAAGAGCCCCTGGTACCCTTTCGATAGGAGGCTGTATGGGCCCCAGAACCTATCTGGACGATGTGGAGAATAAAAAATTCTTGATCCTACCGTGACTCGAACTTCGACCCGGCGACTGTCCAGCCAATAGCCAGACGCTATACCGACTACGCTATCCCGGCTTCTTACAGTGTGTTTGTGTGCTTTTTATCCTCGCCTCATAATGTTTCGCATGACTTCGATAATTGGTTTGTTGTCTAAATAATATGTTGCCTTGTTTTTGTTTTTTTTTGTTTTTTCGTTTTTATGCGTACGTGTTTTATTTCTTTCTTTGCTCATGCTTGATTTATAGTTGGCCTTTGGACTGTTGAGTAGACACGTAAATAATTAAAGAATCGAACTGAATTTTTATTGTTCGTTTCTGTTGTTCTGTTATTCGATCTGTTCCGTTTTTAATATTTTGATCCATATATGGAAACAGTATAGATCATGTCGATAAGGCATTAAGAGAGTTGTGTCTTGTGTTCACAGTTGCTGGAGGAATTCCGGAGCTCCGAGGCGGGCAAGAAGAATCATTTGGTGCTCCTTCTGAACGGGAGTAGTGCCGCCTGAATTATATTATAAACTGAGTCACGTTATGCGCAATGTACGTGCTGGTAGCGGGTGCACAGTTCCACATCCCGCTGCAGTTGGTAGTGTTCCTGAGTCCCTGTGCAGTGTATGAGACGTAGTAGTTAATTTTAATAGTACAACAGTTCGCACTGATTGTTTTGTTAGCATCCAGATTGTAACTTCACGAAGTGCACCTTGCTTCCGGTTATGTAGAATGGGTTGGATCACAGCATCTGTTAGATTTAGACTGGAAGTAATTTACTTACTAACATGTGATCTAGCACCGAACAGGAACAGTACGTCCAAAATGCCAGTATTTCTGTGCATTGCTGATACAGACACATACTATCTACAATTGAACTATTGCCTATGCGGTAATGTAATTTCACAGAATTAACAGTAATAGGCGTACAGTGTGTGCCAATTCAAGAATAACTCGACTTCAGAGAAGAGTTCATTAATCTCATGACCTGCTAGCTGGCCGCGATTTAATGATTCCCGGTATGAGAGCTTATCGCTGTCTGCCTTGAAACAGAATTGGCCGACAGGCACGTGTTGCCCAGGTGCCCTGTATATTGTATATGCATGCACTGTTCTGCTAGACACACTCATACGTACTCTGAACTTCGCGAGCTTGCGACTGCGCTCTTCAGCATTTAGAGTTGAACTGAAGATATGACAGTAGTACGTCATCATTCTGCCTTTGTTGGGGCTTGTTACGTCACCCGCATTCGAGGCCATGAGCATTAAATCGCGGCTGGACTGTAGTCTATAAACGTCCAAAGTTGCTAGTCTCAAGTTACATTCTTGTTTTTGAACATATATTCTACATATTCTCGAAATATGCAAGTTATATGAATAAAACCGCTATAATATGTATGTAGAAATCTACTTCACATATTCCTCCTCGAACCTGGTTTGTGTTCATGTACTTTTTTAATACTCTGTGCCTTCAAAGCATGAGATCTTTCATGTTTAACAAATGTTACGACATAGGTATATACCATGATTTCTTGTATCATTAAACATAGAATTTAATTTCTTCCCGATTCGAGTTCGTTTTAGTGTGGAAGGTTTTTATAAATTTTAAACTAGAGGATGTCAGCACTTGTCTTGTTTATGAACATCCATTCCACTAGCTTGTCTTCACGAACTGCGTGCTGTGACGTCTTTCACTATTCCAAGATATTGCCTGTGATGACAACCCTGGTAAGTGAATAATTTACGTTTAGAATCCTTCCAAACACGCCATTATATGTACCGTAGACCGTTGTTGTTTATAGATGCATCTAATTTTAAACTTAAACTTAGTGGCATTCCTAACATTACTATAGAAGTTGCCACGATTTGTACAATGTACTCCAACAGCTAAAAATAAAATTGGAATATATGTATGCAGTTTATATTTCCTTTATAGTAGTAATAGTTTGGAAATTATTATTTTCACCTTCATAAAGGCCTTGTGTATTAATTTACGCCGTAGTTATGTTCCTAGCAATCGCCGCGTAATGCGAGACGTGTAAATCGAAAACGTTACTTCCATAAACTTAATGTTAAAAATAAAATTTTTGTTCCTATGACAGATTTTTTATGGTGAACGTGTGATTGTGATTTATTTTATTATTATGTAAGTGTAAATTAATACTGTAATGGAGTAGATATAGGAATAGAAATAGAACTATTTATACATATTATGTGCTGCTCACGCTGGTTCTTCGCTTGCTGATTTATTATTTTTTTCTTCTACCCTGAAGATGGAGGCGATACGTTCCTCCGNATGTAAATTAATACTGTAATGGAGTAGAAATAGGAATAGAAATAGAACTAAATTTATACATATTATGTGCTGCTCACGCTGGTTCTCCGCTCGCGGATTTCTTATTTTTTTCTTCTACCCTGAAGATGGAGGCGATACGTTCCTCCGAAACGTCAGTTAACACAATATCTACACGGCGCCACATCCCAGAAGACTGCTTTCTTCATAGTCACCACCGTGAACACCTCAAATCTTACAAGACGTAATTGAATTATCTAAAATGTACAGTTGAGTGTCTTGTCCTGGCATTATTATGGAATGAAATCGGGAGATTGCAATAGGTTGGTTCTTCATGTAGATCAAGTACGTAACAAGGAAGAAACACAAGACGGAGCCGAGAGAATATTATTAAACTGGATCTAAGTAAATAGGACCTGGTAAACTGAAATCGAATCAGCTTTGCTTGGTATGAGATACAATTGTGAGAATTCGTGTTACCTGTGTTGAACCTTCGTGTTGAGACATTCCAGTCGCTTTGTCAGTTGTGGGAGATGACCGATCCGTGACCTCAGTCGTATGAAGGTTGGCTGAGAGTGAAACAACGTTGCGGCAGTGAAGAGGTCCCGCGGGACTGGTAGGATTTGTCACGTAGATCAGGGGCTCGATGTAAAGGACCCATTTTCCGAGCGTGAGGTACACTTGCATATAACAGTCTATTCGTATACGAGAGGACACTATTTGAAGGCTCATTTCCGATGCGCTGGCTGTAAACATATAATGAACGCATAATCGGAAAGTCGTATTGGTTTACGTTGGATTTTTAACACTATTTAATGGAATTTGTTGGAGTTTGGCGTTGTAGGTTCCCTCTGAAAGGTACCTAAAGGCAGGTCATTCAGAAAATTTGTACATGGCACTACATGTTTAATTAATAACTAAGTTTTTTTTTAATTTTTTTAAATGATTCGTATTTAACGAAATGTGGGCACACTGAGGAAACGGGGATTTTTCTCTGTAGTCCTGATTGGTTGTGGATGTCGCTCATTTCTGGCCGTTACGGGCCTAATGGTGAAGAGACAAGTCCCAGTACTGCTGTTTATGCCAGTATCTAACTCGGTCCTTAAACGCATGACAGTTTGAGGTAGTTGAGTGAACTCGGATGTTTTGAATGGCGCCGTAGGTTTTCTCCCTCAGGAAGTGTTTCAGCGGAGATTGAGGTTTTCGTTTGGTGTACGTAGTTCCAAAGATGATTTTAGACCTATAAATGAAAATATTCCAATGCGTATTTAGATTGTACGTATATTTTAATGCTCGAAAATACAGAGCTGAGATCAAATTTTAAGACTAGAGAAAGGTTTCGGTAAGACATTAAGAAATGTGAAGATGTAAGACAACTTGGATGTTCTCATTGAATGGAAAAGTCAAAGAAATTAGAAATGGGAACATTTCAAGAATGGATGGAGCCCCACGTTACTGAAGCAAGCTAAGACGAAATATGCAGCAGAAGAGTTGGAGAAAATCTTAAGTGATGCCGGAACAGGCTAATGACGTCCTCGGAATGAAGAAGAGTGCGTTTATTGTGTTACAATTCAGAGTTTGCTTGCCATACTTCTGACTTCACATTGTCTTCGACTAGCCGTGGATAAAATTGCAGTTATTATTAATATTATTATTGGAGGGGGTGGGTTTCCTCATGCACCTAGACCAGTTATTGGTCCATTGTGCATCCTCCTTTAATTTCTACTGACGCCATACCCTACCGGTACTGGTGCGTGCTATCAGCCCCGTTCAGCCAACGAGGTCGGCCCTCGGTACCTGATATTTCCCCCATCTACCAGAGGCATTGGAAACTACTTGGACGGGAAACTTTGTTGCCTAATTTAGCTCAGAGGTCTCCTAGAGACATGAGGATCTTTTACGTGCCGTAAATCTACGATACGGGACCCACGGCTTGAAGTTCCTCCCGGAGGACTTGTTCCCTGAATTTTTCCGCCCTTAAACATTCCACGGCCTCCGCCGGGTTTGAACCCGCGTACCTTGATACAATTGCAGTTACTCAGATGACAAGAGGCAACGGCCATGTTGACAGTGACAGTAGCGATAACCTACCAGCTTTTGTACGTGAACTGGACGTGTATAAATTTGAATGCCATTGGTGCGCAGTAGCAGTGCTTTTCAGACAGCGGTAGATAAGTAGTCTCCTATTTTACTTGTTCGATTTATGATTTGTATAAGCTGTACAAATGGACGTGGCAGTTGATCGTCGTGGGTTCGAGGTACACTAAAAGCCCTTTTCATGTAGCAGGAAGTCTTCGCTCTTCGTCGGCCCATGTCTCTGTATCCGGCAGGGTTTTCTATTCTGGTGGCTTCTATTTGGATTTCTTGTTACAACGTGTGCGTGGAGCTGATTGCATTCTTACGAATAATCTTTCATGTGGCAAAAAGCGTCTGTTCTCTGTGAACGCTAACACGGCTGATTTAGTTACTGGGGCCCTTTGTTCGGCGTAAATTTTTCATGTTTCCTGTTCTTCGTATTTGACCCAGTCTTCACGACTATATATGCCTGCAAGGATAGCAATTCGCATTTTGAAAAACATAATTCTGCTTCGTTTTTTCTTTCCCCCTTTTTATGTTTTCGTCCACTATTTAGCTTCGTTTATTTCAATGGTTACCAAACTGGGAGATGCTGTGGGGGGTTCAGGAGGGTCATGACACCAAAACGAGAAACCTCCGTGGCCTGTAGTCCGCCTGCAAACTATACCGACCGAGCGACCGCCGCTTGTCGGCGAAGTTAGTGCTAACTTTAGCGGATAGAATGTGTCACGTGTTCAGCGCAACGGTTCCACACGGCCGTTAATCTCGGTTTCCTAGACCGGAGCCGCTATTTTCTTGCAGCAGCTCTTCAGTTATCCTCACGAGGCTGAGTGAACCCCGTTCCAGACCCACTGCTCAGAAAATTTGTAGCACCGGGAATCGAACCCGGGACCTTTGGATCTGTAGCCAGGAACTCTGACCACACAGACTGTCACGGGTCATGACACCGTGAGAAAAAATTAAAAATATAGATTTACAGTTATTGATCGAGGATTTACATTTTAGCATTCGCCAGCATTATTGAACCCCCAAATAAAAAGCACCGAACAGCATTTTCATTTTAATAATTTTGATTTTGCCCACAACTTTTTTGTATTAGGCGCCAGGGCCCCCATCCGTGGGTTCATTTCCCTGTGTTAAATTTTGAAATTTGACTAAGCTGAAGACGTTTTCACATTGCCGGGGATGGCGCTGCAGTCTCCTGAAAAGAGTTAACTTTTTTCCTTTCTAGATGGAAACTGGGACAGTCATGTGAAGGACTCTGAAAGTAAATGTATGTGTGCGTGCGTGTCACATTTTGACGTGGCGCCACAACCGTGGAGCGGAGTAGCAACCCAACTAACGTAATAGCAAACAGCACGAGGAATGTAAAAGAAATTGTATCATCATCATCATCAGTAATCTGTCAAGACGACAGGTCCACAGTGTTGTNAAATTGTATAACTGGAAAATTAATCAATAAAATCACCATGTAAGATTTGAGGTTTTCACGGCGGTGACTATGAAGAATGCCGTCTTCTGGGATGTGGGACCATGTAGACATTGTGTAAACCGACGTTTCGGAAGAACGTATCGTCTCCTTCATGGTATAAAAAATCTGCAGCAACCTGCTCACGCTAGTTCCTCGCTTGCGGATTCTTATACCTTGAAGGAGGCGTTACGTTCCTCCGAAACGTCGGTGTACACAGTGTATTCACGGCGCCTCGTTCCAGTAGACGGCATTCTGCAATAAAACCACATTTGACGTTTTTATGCATATTTTTCTATCTTTCGCCGATTCACCGTAAGTATACGTGTACATTGATAAAATACGTAATAAAATACTTTGGTCATGAATTGGTCATGAAGAAAAATATAAACACTAGTGCAAAGGGTTACATTTCTTTCATTCAAGTAAATGAGGATGGGGCCGGTCACGATAGCCGAGCGGTCTAAGGCATGTATTGTCTTCGCTCGCTTGGAAACTGGGATCGTGGGTTCGAATCCCATTCAGGGCATGGATGTTTAATTTGTGTGTGCGTTTTTCTGT